CTGATTGCATCGCAAACATTTTCCTGATTGAAAACATAAAAGACATCAGTTACTGAGCACATCTTTCTGGAGGTTATGCAGTACTACTTGAAGGGGCGCTACGTGTCCCTGTGGATCTGTTTGGCTCTTTGCCTAATATCGTGGAAATGTTTTGAGCAATGTTTCTCATGCTTGGTCCAGAGCAACACATTAACCTCTGATGTCTGGAAGTATAATCTCTCTGAAGAACCAGCACCTTACCGTGGTAGAGAGGTTTGTGTGCCCTGATGAACCTGGGGGCTGTGTTGTCTGGAACCTTGTGTTCCTGGTAGGGTCTCCCATGGCAAATTGGTCTCAGGCAAGGGGCCAGCCTAAGATTGGTTCAAAAGACCTCATGAAAGAACAACAAAGAAGTGAGGATACCCGGCCCGGAGGAAGGACTCGTCGGCGAGCGTCTGGTGGCCGGGCTTGCCACAGAGCCCGGCCAGGCACAGCCCGAAAAGACAACGTGGGCAACACCTCTGCTTCTCTGTCCCGCGGGCCCACCACCTACGGGAAACAGCGATGGGGTCGGGTGTGCTGCCAGAAGGGTGGCAGTGAAGGCAGAGGGTCTCGACGGACCAGACCCGGGCGACAGAAGCTGGCTTTGGGGACGTGGAACGTCACCTCTCTGGGGGGGAAGGAGCCGGAGCTTGTGCGGGATGTGGAGCGTTACCAGTTGGATCTGGTTGGGCTCACCTCTACGCACAGCGTCGGCTCTGGAACCTTACTTCTGGATAGGGGTTGGACTCTATTCTTCTCCGGAGTATCCCAAGGTGTGAGGCGCCGGGCGGGTGTGGGGATACTCACAAGTCCCAGGTTGGCTGCTTCGTTGTTAGAGTTTACCCCAGTGGACGAGAGGGTCGCCTCCCTACGCCTGCGGGTTATGGGGGGGAAAACTCTGACTGTTGTGTGTGCTTATGCACCAAACAGCAGTTAGCCATCGGGCACCAGGTGGAGGGATTATATCTCTTCTCTGGCCTGGGAGCGCCTTGGGACCCCCAGTCAGAGCTGGTTGATGTGGCCAGGGAAAGGAAAGTTTGGGGCTCTCTGCTGGAACTGATACCTCCGCGACCCGACCACGGATAAGCGGGAGAAGATGGATGGAAGTATAAAGGATGACATGAAAACAGTACAATAACGAAAGTCTGATTCAGAGCAAGATAACAAAGCATTTTATAAGTAATTTTCTTTCTGTTAGGATGGTGAAACATTCAACAGAGACTCAAAAACAAACACGCGAGTCATTTACCATCCGCAAAATAAAACATATAATAATTACATATGATCTATTTACAAATAAACAGGAAGTGACATCAGTGGTTGGCCTCACTGTTTCCTGAAGCCTTTCAGGATCGGATAAATGTTCTCAAACGCATCGTAGATCTCCGCTCGTTCTTTAGCTCCTGCAAATTAACAAACAATAATTTTCTTTAGAAAACAGTATGTGCAAATTGTCTGCATTTACCAAAGACTTATGTCTATTCCGTCTTGATCAATAATAATTCAATTACTAAAAATAAACTAATAATTACATCTGCATTAAGTAAAAAGAAAAATCACATTACAAAATGAAGTTTTATTTTACAAGCTATGAGAGGTGCAATTCTTAATTGTGAAGAAAGACCCCATAATGAGATTTGTGTACAATAATTAAGAGAAAACGATCGGTTATAACAAGTACTTCGTGCATGTGAAATACATTTTAGTTGAAGAGAGGAATTAACCTTTAGCAAAAACTGCTCCTTATGCACACTTAAAACCACAAAAACCTTGTAATTAAAAAACAGTTGGTAAAAAATAATGTGTAAACCTCCAATTGTATGTTAGTGTATGCAATTGATTTCTGAAATTACAGACACAGTGGGTTTCCACAGCTTTCCTCGACATTGAGAAACCAATGTTGAGGAAAGCTGCTTCAGAGCCACTATTTCAAGGATGCTACGTCATCGAGTGCCGCCAAAGGACTGTTCCAATGTCCAGGATGCTTGGAATTCTACTGAGGCCGGCTTCCTTCGTTGCGGGAAATTTTGAGGCTGTGTATCCTCCGCGGTCTTAAAATCCCCACAATGATTTGCGCACGGACCGATTTCCAAATATATGGCTGAAATCGCGCTCCATTGAAGGCAGACACCTGCACACCTGTTAGCCTGTTCCATCATTCTTCTTTTTCCGAGGCTATAAGGATTCTTGCCTCGCTTCTGAAGGACCTGACTCGGAGGGACATGTCCTACCAAGGAAGCGTCCTCGACATTGAGAAACACCCAGTGGGTTTTAAATGTTTTTGAACTGGATCCTCCTCTTTTTTAACTTCTGTCTATAATAAAACGTTTTGAGTTTCGTTACCGGTCAAAACAACTTTCCCAGAGACGAATATGAGCAGCACGATGCGAGGCTTCACCATGCGGTAGATGAGGCCTGGAAACAGCTCTGGTTCATAACTGTGGAGACAGAAACATGTTATATAAAGCTTTTGAAAAATCATGCTAATAATCCATCAGAATAAACTTCCTCAAAATCTATTTCACGATTCATTAAAAAGGTTAATTCTTTCCAGTTTCTGTAAAACCTAATCTCGCTAACAGGAACTAGAAGCTAACTATTTGCTAAAGCTGCCTTCAGATGATAGGCGGTAAAACCAATACCAAAACCTTACTAGCCAAACTATTGTGCAATGTCTTGTCTTTTTATACTTCTGCAACACAAACATTTCCCAAATTGGGATCAATAAAGTACTTCTTATCTTATCTTAGGGGGAAGCGCCACCCATGAAAGATCTCAGTGGCTTTTTAACCGAATATCTTGCAGAGAGGGAGGGGAGTATGCTAAGCTAGGCTAACCTGTCTGCAACACAGTGAGTGCATACCTGCCAACCCTACCGATTTGGGCGGAAGTCTACCGCTTTTGACATGTTTCTACCGCCTACCGACTTAGCTGGCTTTCCCTACCGATTTTCAATTTTCCCAAACTATAACAAATAAAAATGACACTCCATAGACACTGGATTCGACTTTTGGCGGACACCGTTTGCAGCGTGTCTGTGATCGCATCATACAAACAGTCCTCTGTGTTTCTGAAAGAGAAACAACGTGCAGACCGGGGGTAACGCTGCCTTTCCTCTGCACCCCCGGGGCTGATGGGTAATCACTCCCAAATGAGTGGAATGAGGGAACAGAGACGAGGCATTTGAGTCCTGCAGGATTTCCCCTTTAATATCAGTGTCTCGAAAACACATGTTGGCGACTGAAAGACATCCAGTGTTTGATCTTTTCCGGAAGCATCCTATAGTGTCTCAACTGAAAGAGAACCACAAACACACACAAAATATAATAAAATGTGGAGACTGTGGGATATTTATCTCCCATTCTTTTACTTTTCGGGCATTTTACAGACCAGACATGTCGTTGATGTCACTGTTTACCAAACTACCACTTTTTCTGAAAAATGCATAAAATGATGCAATATATGTTAAATACATGATTTATGTAATTACTGGGGTTCCATTTCTTCTGATTACCTCATTTGGGCGTGCACATTTGCCGCACGCAAACCTACCTCTTTTGGATTTGGAAAGGTTGGCATGTATGTGAGTGTCTCTACCTGCTGAACTGCTGGTGAGTCAGCACCAGGCCCTCCAGTCTGATGGGGAAACATACGTCACAGCTGGCCACCATGTTCTGGATCTTAAAGTCTGTGAAGCGGGCGGGAAAACCGAGTTTCTGAACCACGCGGGCGTACTTCCTGGCTGCCAGACGTGAGTGCTCCTCACTGCACAAACACAAGGGTGAGGCATTTAAAAAAAAAAACTGTCTCACCTTTGCCTGGAGGCACACAGGTAGACAGACAGACAGGTAGACAAATATCTTATCTTAATTATACTAGTTTACATACAAATAGGAACATAAATGAAACTGTCTGGTTATCTGAACATGGACTTGTAGGAATATTTGTTTGTTTTGCTTTATTATTTTAACCCTGGAAATGGGTGTATGTATGAATATGTGTATATATAGAATTGTGTTTATCTGTGTGAGTATTTAATTACGTAATTATCTTTTTCTTCTTTATCCTGCAACAGGATGGGCTACCTCTGTATAAACTTTGCTTTCTTCCCTCCCGCTTCTACTAATTGTGTTTTTTTTTGTCTAATTGTTGAAATAGTAGAATAAATACATTTTAAAAAAACAGACAGACCTCTTGGCTCCTGTACAGACCATCTTCCCGGAGCTGAAGATCAGAGCGGTGGTTCGAGGCTCTCTGATCCTCATGATGACCGCCGCAAAACGCTGAAACAAAAAAAGGACAACTGAACAATGCTGGGGAGACGTTACAGCAATCATCACTACAATTTTAGCTTTAAAATACTTTACAGTAATAAGTCAGTATAGTGATGTATACTCAGAGATGGTAAATGCACACATATCCTTTACTCAAGTAGAAGTACAGATACTCGTGTTTAAAAATACTCTGGTAAAAGTAGAAGTACTGACTAAAAGTAAAGAGGGCTTTGAAATGTGCTGAAGTAAAAAGTACCCATAACTAGCAGCTGTTTTAAAGAGTACCTGACCTCCCTTTATATTAATAGAACAATAATGTCATTGTTAGCTAATGAATGTTTCCATGCTGAACAACGGCAACATGACAACGTTTTCATTGGTCCCTCTTCTTTAGAGAAGACCAGGAAATGATGGATACACGGATCGTGTTCAAATCAATAGGCACGCAATGACTCTAAATAATAATGATCACGCCACCAAACACACATTCAGACTAAAGGAACCAGCCTGTTTGGGAAATGTGAGAAGTAGAAAGTACAGGTGTTTGGGTTCAACATGTAAGAAGTAGAAAGTACAGGTATTTGTGTTCAACATGTAAGAAGTAGAAAGTACAGGTATTTGTGTTCAACATGTAAGAAGTAGAAAGTACAGGTATTTGGGTTCAACATGTAAGAAGTAGAAAGTACAGGTATTTGTGTTCAAGTGTGTGTAAGAAGTAAAAGTTAAAATAAGAAGTAGAAAGTACAGGTATTTGGGTTCAACATGTAAGAAGTAGAAAGTACAGGTATTTGTGTTCAACATGTAAGAAGTAGAAAGTACAGGTATTTGTGTTAAAAATGTAAGAAGTCAA